TATTTTAAATTATATATTAATTTTAATTTTCCAATATATGATGCTTATTCTCTTTTGTATGTGTTTACGAATATCATTACTATTATAGTATCCTCGAACATTAATAGTAGAAGTGGTAATTATTTCAATATAACAGTTATAATTATTAAGGTTAAGGAGTAACTGGGAAATAAAGAAGTAACTGAATAATTGCCACCAACCAGGTTACTTGTAAAAGTTAAGGGTCATATATTTAAAAATGGTATCAATAGAAAGGGAGGAAATCAATTGACTTTGTATTAAATAAAATTAAAAATATTTTACTTAAACCAAAATCTGAAAATAAAAAATTATTTTTTTTTTCAAATTTTTTTTTTTTCATAATAAGCGCTCCACTTACTATTAGAAGTAAATTTTACAGCGTATTCATTGCATTCGTTAAAAAAGGGTAAAATCTTTGTTTTTTAGGGGAGGTTGGGTTTTTCAAAAGTAAGAATTTGCAAAATTTGTATTGTAATAAGGAGTAAAATTACAACCACCCACCACAATTATTATCCTATTAATTTACTTTAACCAAAAATCTTTTAAATAATGAAAATTTAAACTTTATCATTATATTTTAAATCGGTCTAGTGATTTTTAAATTGTATATTGCCAAGTCCAAGTGAATTTCGATATTTAAAGAATTATTATTTTTCAATTATTTCGACTTGTTGAAATTAATTTCATTATTTTAATAAGTGGAAAATGAAAAAATTACATAAGACCAATAAAGAAAAAGGAAAAAATATAAAAATTTAATTAGAAATATATTTCAAAAGTCCATGAAAAGAAAGTCCACCATGCCATAGAAAAGAAAAGAAAAATATTTGAAAATCCTGACGTGAACATGTGGACACGGCGAATTGGATTCTGATATCAATGTATTTTCGGAAGACATTAAATTTTTAATTTTAAAGACTAAAATTTGTAAAAATTGTCTTTCATTATGAAAAAAAAATTTCTTCCTGAACTTTTTCGATGGGCGAAGCAATTAAAAAAGAAAAGGAAACCATTTAAGTAACGTAGGATTTGTTGGAATATAGATAATACGAAATGAAAAGGAAATTATTTGTATATTGAAAAATTTGTTTCGAAATAAGAAAAAAAAAATATCTGGTGGGCGAAATATAGAACAATGAATGTTATTTGGTATTCTTCATTTATAAGAATGACCAAAATGAGAAGTATTTATTACGATTGACAGGAAGAATTTTGAAAATATGAAAAATAAAATGTATATAAAAAAGAGGGGAGAATGTACAAACAAAACTGTTAAAGAAAAAGGAAAAGTATAAATAACAAGTAAAGGTTGATATGATTAGATGTGATTGAGGTAAGAATAAAGATAAAGTATGTGTGAGCTGTGCATGGAAGTAAACTGAAAGTTGTATCGTCAAATATTTGATATTTGGACGATAAAGAACGTGTCTTATAATCATTGTGATATTTATCCATTTTTCAATTAGCCAAACCTTAAAACTACAACAGTAATAATTTCATATTTTTCGTAGTTGTAAAACTTTTAATAATAATAAATGTCAACCTATTAACTAAATCTATGTGCAGTTTGATAATAAGACCAAAAAAATCAATTTATAATATAATAATAAAAGGGTTGGGGTTGTTGAGTTCGAGTATTGATCATTTTCAAATGATTTTAAGATTTTTATTTGAGTCAAATAATAAATTTTTATTATATTTTTTTTCGAAGTGGATCTGAGGAAAGAAAAAAAAAATTCAAGAATGATGAATGGACTTATATTATTCTTATTGAGTCACTTCACTGAGATGAATTTCTGCATCTCCCGCAATTTATAAAATTATATTATCTCATTTTGATAGTTATTGTTACGATATTTGTTGTGTGCCGTTGAGAAAGAAAATTATATTCGTTTAATTTTTCCTTTGCTTTGGTAAAAATTTATTTTAACAATTCTATAACTTTTTTTTTTTTTGTTTCGAATTAAGTTAATTTTTTTGTAAAATTATATTTTGGCAAATTACTATTCTTTGCATTTTCTCATCGAAACGATATCTATCTTTATGCGTTTCGTCAAAATAATATCAAAAATGATATAACTGGACTTTATTTAGAGAGAAACCACAACTATTCCCTTTCTTTATAATATTCTTATCGATATTTATATAAATTAATCAAAATTTTAAATGAATTTTTTTTAATAGTTATGACGAGCTTCGTAAGCTTTGCAGGTCTGTGTGGATGTCTTCCATGCTGCGACCAAATTATGGTCTAATGAAGGTAGTTCTTGTTCCCCCAAAATATTGAAGACGTGTATCGAACACGAACATATTGAAATGAATGAATTTTTTTCGAGAATAGACAATTTAATATAATTTCAAGGGAGGAGAGGGTTTATTAATTAAATATATCGGATAAACCACGTTTAAGAAAAATTGAAAAGAGATTTTCAATATAATAAAAAAAAAAAAAGATAAAAAATAAGGATCTTCTGTGGGGGATATCAAGAAACTAGGTGTTTTTAAAGAAAAAAAAAACTATTTGTCATATTCATTATTTTTGAAAATAAATGGTTACTCCAAAATTAAAAATAATTTAAGGAGAAATTGATAGATCAAAGGGGGATTATATATAAATAGACCGGCAGGTTTTCAATAATGATAACAATACAATAATAACAATAATGATATTCGATTCTTAATACTGTTAACAATGTGAAAAAAATATGATCAGTGAAAAAAAAGTCAAGGAAAAACGAGATGCATGCCTATTTATATTTAAAATCATTATTAATTATGACAATAAACGACAACAACAACAAAAGATTATATTTTTTTTGACAGCTAAACACAACCCTTAAAAAATGGGGGATAAACATTATCTATCAGAAAAGAAAAAAATATAAACATAGTAATAAAAATGGCGACGCTTCACGTGTATTCGATTTATTCGATTATAAAAACTGAAGATTTTTATTTTGGTCGTGAAAAAAAAAAAGTTGTAGCATCAATTTGAAGTCCATTCCATTAAATCTAACGTCAAGCATTATTACGAGCATTAATATCATATTATTTAGTATTTTTACGTGTGTAAAAATAAAATATATAACCGTAATAACAACATTGATTAATATTTTTTATTTATTTTTTTTGGGGGGGGGGGCTATTAATTAATTAAATCAAATAATTAATTGTACTTATTTTTTTTTTGTCGTACCTACCTAGCAATAGTGCTCTCGCATATTAATGAATGATTTTTTTTATATGGGATGATTTTCGTCAATTTTTTTTTGTTGTACTTAACTGAAAAAAAATTAAGAAAATTAAATTTATTTTATTGATTTTATTCATTAAGAGATATTATCATTATCATTTATTATTATCCAATTATCCATTTATTTATTCCCACGTTTTCCTCTGTTTTTTTCTTCAATTTTCATTATTCATTTGGTTCTAACTCAGTAGTTCATATACGATACTTCGAATATATCTATTAATCAAAATTCGTTATCTTTACGTACGTCACCCTTATACAACTTATTACTTATTACATATTTATCATGGTTATTACACGCGACATATCATCATATCAATATTTTCTTCTAACATTATTTAAAGTGAAAAGAGTCTTCTCGGTCTTAATTTTTTCTATTTAAATTTTTTTTTTTTAATTTTTAATTTAATTTAATTATTTTATTTCATTAATTTAATTTTTTTTTTTAAATTTTGAATTATAATTTAATTAATTATTTATTTATTTAACGTATTTATTCGCGTTTGACAATTAATTTCCTCTTAATTTTTTTTTCTTGTCGATTAATTAAATCTTTCTCAGATAGATATATATTTATATATATATATATATTAAATAGAAAAAAAATTAGAAAAAGAAATATATATAGATGTACATAGATATATGTATTAAGTAATAGTAGTAGTAATCTAGGAGGCAGTTTACAACGAGATAGTTATTTTTACTGAATGTGTTAACTTAAGCGACTAGGAAGGCAGGAAGAGGAGATTGATGTGCCCAATAAATAGAAAAAAAAATGTCAGGGTTGTTAAATTATCGAGTTAACATAATCTAACCGATAATAAAAAATAAAGTATCTCTTAACAACAAAAATAGAAAAAAAAAAAGAATTTATTTTAGATTCTTCATTTTTTAAGAGGAAGTTATTAAAGGAAGTTTAAAATATTCATCATCTTAATGATAACTTTGAAATAATTATAGATAGATTTTTTTCGTTATTTATCAAACAATACTTAATGATGACTTTGAATTTTGCAAAATCTGGATACAATTTGGGCTTCAATATAAAATAATTATATATAGTTTTTTTAATAATATAGTACCAAATCTCTCCTTGTCATCACTTCCTTAAAGTATAGTTGTAGTTCAACTAAATTCATTCAAAAGAATATATGGTTTATACATCTATTCTAATTATATTTATTTTTAAAGATGTGATGATGTATAAAAATTGTTTTTGCAAACATTAAATATTAAATCTTAAAAAGAAAAACTTTCGATTCAAATCTTTGATTTAACCAATATAGGATAATGAAAGGTTTGTGTTGAGAAGGTTGTATATAAATATTTTTTTATTTTTGTGAAAGATTGTATACTATAAACCAGTTTCTTTTTATATTGTTTATATGTATATACCGATTAATAAAAAAAGAAAAATAGAATTGAATATGAAGAAGAAGAAATTAATTATTTTTAAACATTCAGAATAAGATAGTTTCATTTTTATATTATTTCTATTATTCTTTTTTATTACCCATCACGACAATTATCACATTACAACAATCCCCAATATCTTTAAATGAAATGAGAGATTGTTTAAAGATTAAATAGAATTTGTTAATTACATAATAAGAGATTTACTGTATATAAGATATCGTGAAGATTTTGCTAATAAAAAAAGGTAAATCAAAGAATAATATAAGCAATAGTTTCAAAATAGATAGATAGTAATGGGAAACCATAAAAAATGCCCATATACCGTTCAATCTTTAATCAAAATGAAGAATTAAAAAACGAATTAAAAGAATTAAAAATGAAAATACAAGAGGCTCAATGTCTGACCTCAGAGAACAACACCAATTTGAACGAATTCCAGACAGTTTCTTCTAAAATTATTAAATGAGGGATCATAGTATAGAAAAATGTTGGATTATTGAACCAAAATCTCTCATTATAACGTTTATCGTTATTGGAACCCACTAAGTTTTTTTTTTCATATCAACATGTCTTCCGAACACATTAATCACAATGAAAAATATCCCGATTACAAAGTACTTACCATATTTGAAACAAAATATAAATAAATTTTTTTGAGTCCAAATATAAAAAAAAAACCAATCAAACGAAATTAAGTTATTATAAACGTTATAAATTTCTAAAATAATTAACAAAAATCTTAAAAAAAAGAAAAAAAAAAGTTGAAAATACTTCAATTTTAAGTGTTATTAATGAGGTGATGATAAAAAAAAATACCTTATATTTATTCGGATTAAATAATAAAGAGAGTTACCAACAAAAAATGAAGAAAATAAAATAAAAAAAAATAAAAAAAAATAAAGAAATTATAATGAAAAATGAAGACTAGGAGAAAATCGATTACAATGTTATGGAAAGTTGTTATCAAAATGCCAAATCCCGAAATACATATATAGAATGAATTTTAGGAAAATTGTTTATTAAAGAATTAGCAAAAAATTATATTGAATTAATGTCAATTATAGGAAATAGTAATTTAATTGACATACTTAATGTTTAATGAAAAAATACTAATCTTATTTTTTTGATAAAAGAAAAAAAAAAGACAAACAAACTCAGAAGAGCAATTAAATAATTTGTAAATTTATTCAGAAATTAAATTATTCATCAGATTTAAATTATTTAAATATATTGATAACAAAATTCCTTATTCTCTTGATTGATCATACTCGAAGTCAAAATATTTTAATAAAAATCATTAATGAGATTTCTTGAAATCCTACCCACCCTTATGTAACTCTGATATTACAACCCGAAAAACACAACAGATTCTCAATACATACGCTGGGTTACGATGAGTTAGCATTCCTTTTCAATGAATTAGAAAAAATCGACGAAAATACCCTCTAGGAAGAAAGTAAATTGCCATTACATAGGTAAAGTAAAAAGAATAGTGGCACAAATAGGAATTCCGATTTTAGCTGATTTATAATATAGGATAACAATATCAAACCCACAAAGGGTCCAATCTCAGCAATGTCAAAATTCAATCAATAACTATCCCAGTAATGTTAAAATCTTAATCAAAAACTTATGGATATTTACAATGGAATTCAACAAGATGTTCTTATTGCAAAAGCTCAAAGGGACTTGTTACATGCAATTAAGCAACAACTACCAATAATGCAAGTTGAAACCTTGAGGCAAACAAGTTCATTTTTCTGCTCACCACAGAGCTCAAAGGGACTTGTTGCATACAATCAAGCAACAACTCCCATTAATGCAAAATGAAACCTTGAGGCAAACAAGGTCATTTTTCCGCTCACCGCAGAGCTCAAAGGGACTTGTTGAATGCAATTAAGCAACAAATCCCATTAATGCAAGATGAAATCTTGAGGCAAACAAGGTCATTTTTCTGCCCACCGCAGAGCATTAGTAGCATAATTAATAATATTAAATTATTTTCTGTCAAAGAAATAAAATAACTAATTCTAATTTCTTTTCAAAAATATAATTTAATGATAAAATTTAACGATAACTCTAGCACTTCAAAATAAAAAATCATAAGTATTTGTTCCAGTGAGACCTTGCCAAAAGTTTATTAACTAGAAACTAAACAATCATAGCAATAATTTTTACATTTTTTTTATTGTTTTTTTAAACTTTTTCTTTTTCATCTTTTAATTCACTCTGGAAGATTTGAAGATAGATACATTATATTTTATTTAACTCCTTGGGGGAAATACAAGAATAACGTAAACTAGTTCCGCTCGATAGTGTAATACGTCTATATGTAGCAAGGCAACTTTATCCCCTTCCTTTGTAAATACTCTTTAGATATTTAACTCACTCTTGGAAGATTCGAAGATAGATATATTATATTTTTTTTTTGACTCCTTCTTGGATGAAATACAAGAATTGAAGCGGAACTTAGAAAACAGCTTAAATTAGTACCACTTGATATCTTGATATTTAATACATTGATATGCAGCAAGGTGCCTTCATTATCAGTGCCCCCTACTTCCTTCTAGATAAAATACATTTATATGAAAAATTAAGAATAAATGTGATTTAATATTTAATTATCATCCAAAGTACAAAAAGGTGGAATTCCACTAGCAAGTGATACAATCCTTTTAGAATATTGATTTGTAACCGAAAAAGAAAAAAAAATGAATTAGACATATTACAAATTCTTTTAATTAGAATAACATTATTACATTAATCGTAATTGGTTAGTGCATTGAGTAAAGATAGTTCTTATTACTTTAAAAATTCCAAGATCAAAAAAGTATTGCGCTATTTTAAGAAACTTCATAGTGCTATTAGACACAGGGTAAAGTATACATACCTCTTAAGTCATTCAAATGATTGGTGAATGCTTTAAATTATCGAATAGATTGAGCAGTCTTTGTAATACATCTTTATTACACTCTATGTAATACATCTTTTTTACACTTCCCTTCTCTAATACTGTATCTTTATTAGGCATTTTTTCAAATTTCATTAAATCAATTCAAAAAAATAAAATAAAAACAATTAGTAATTAGCAAGAAAAAAAATTAGAAATAATCAATACAAATAATAAGCAAATATTAATTTTGATTCAAGTAAAGAAAAAATTGTTCAACCATCAAGATAATTATACAAGATTATTTTTGAACATGAGTCATTGGAAAATAAAATTAAGCAAGCTACCTTAATTCATTAGAAAATGTCTTATCACGCAAATAGATGTTATTAAACTCGAGTATGTCTAAGACTTAATTTATTTTACCTTTAGCTAAATAAATTAGACACTTACTCAAGTTTTTCATTAATTTAACATGTATGCATTATACAAAGAAAAGAAAAGTGTTGTATTTTAATTTTCATCCTAATAAATAGTTAAAAAATATTGGAAGATCAAAATGTTTGAATCTAATGAGAAAGATCCGGCTGATATCATCCGATTGCAATTCAGAAAAGCCCTCTTTAAACCGAACAATTAAAACATTAAAGCAACTTAATAATGAGTGCAATGCTCAGATTAAGTGCCAAGTGGTCATCAGCAAATTAAAATAGTCAATTCTTAGGTTAATTTTGAAAAAAAAAGAATCAAGTCACGAATATCAAATAATCTTTATAATTAGTTATCCAATCAATGCCTTCAACGTTTAGTCACTGAAATGATCCTAAAATCCTAATCCCAATTAATCAGTTAAATTTTTTTAGTTATACAATACAAATATATATAAAAAACTCGAGAATATGTTTTCGCGAAGGTTGCACTAGTCATCCCCATGCTCCTTCCGATTTCAACTATCCCAACTTTCCATATTATGAATGTTATTTACTTAAGTGGATCAAGTGGGAAGACCTGTGCTAACAATTTAAGTAATATGAAATTTTACCAGACAGATTCAATTGTAAAGTATTCTTTTTTTACCAATTAACCAATTAACATTACATCAATTATTCAAACAAAATGAAAAAGAAAAAAAAAAGTCTCAAGAAAAGGTATTTAGAAATGAATTCTTTTCCATTAAAGAGTTTGTCTGACATGATAATTAAGTCAGTATAAGATAAGTATGATTACTTCAAAGCAAGATGGAAATTTTGGATTCCTATAGAAAACAATAAGCAACAATAACGTTGGGGAGTTTGATTATGTTGACTATTAGTACTTTCAAAATAGTGGATGCTTTTCCACCTGATTCTACGAATTGAAGAATTTAAATATGCAAAATTCATCAATTTGTAGACATTGGATCATTAACAAGGGGATATATTGTATACATCAAAAAATATCAGAAGAAAACATTATTAGTCTTCTCTTGAATAAACACCTTAAGATTAACCAAATATCAGTTCATAGTCTTTCCCCCTTGCATGCCATGTATTTCTTTTATACTTGTTATGCAAAATACAAGAAAACAAAAAATTTAGCCACAAGGTCACCACACTACCCAGAGACTAGATTTATGTTCACAAATAAAAAATAAAATGTATGAAAATGATTTGAATAATGTCCACATTGTAGAATAGGTAGAATAGGTGATTGAATCAACCCATTCTTTTAAATTTTCTTATAGTAAAGAATAATGATTAGGGAACAAATATCTACTGTCTTCGCCTATAGTTGATATTTCCGGTTTCAATTTCATTACTGAATAATTATAAATCTCAGAGTTATAATAATTACAAGATTTTTTGTAATATCTCATGTTTTTAAGAAAAATCTATTAATGAACAATAGAATTTCTCACAAAATTCACGAATAAGTTTAAATACTTTTAACTAATAAATATCTGTATACCTATGTGATTGTTGTGATTACCAATTCCAATTCCTCTGCTCTAAAATCTAATCGTTAAACGAGGTTGTTATTTGGAGCACCATGTAATTAAATTAAAATCTATATTAAATATTAAATTATTATTTTTGAAATTATTCAGTATCAAAAATTTGTCATCACCTCTACGATAATAATCAACATCAATATCTCAAAAATTCTTTTTTCGTTCGAGTTCACCTATAAAATTATAATATTAATATTAGTTTTTGAATGTATAAATACTTTGTTAAATTATTATATAACAATTTCTAAACCTTAAAATCTTTATATTAATAATTTCAAATTTTTCTAATCAAATAAATAATTTCGAAAAATTCTGAACTTTGAATCAAGTGCGAAAAATTTTATAAAGTCAACTTTAGAAGAATTAGAATTATTAAAAGAAAAGACCTTGGAAGACTTCATTTAAGGATTAGTTGATAATGAAAACTATTATGATTATAATAATCCATGGAAATTTAATTAAAAAAATTTAGAAGGTTACACGGACTGGGAAAAACAACAACTTAAATTGGTAATTTGGAATAAATCTTGCGTTGTGGCGTATTTTATGTATTTAGTAAAACCATTAACAGTTAAAGTAACACTTAATAATAAATTTTATAAATAAATGATACAATCAATTTTTTTATTTATTTCTTGAATTTCTATTTTTTCTATTTTTCTTCGATATAAAAAAAATGGCAACTAAAGTTCCCACAGAAATATTAATTAAAATTTTAAATTTTCATCATTTAGTTCGACTCAAGATTTATATTTATCATTATTATTCAATCGAATCTGGTGTAAAATTATTATACCTTTACTTTGGGAATTATCTTTGGGCAAAGAATATCATGTATATGATTATAAGTCGGAGAAGAAAGCATTATGTATTCGAACTCATATATCTTGTATGGATGTTCAAGCCAGAACTTTACTTATTCAAAATGGATATGATTTATCATCATCACCACCTCAAGCCACTTTTGATTATTCGTCATTCACTCATAAATTTATAATTAATAATTTTAATTTATTTTATTACCATATATTCAAATTCAAATCAAGATAACAACATTGATAAGAGACTATTATTTCGTGAGACGTACAAGTTAATATTAAATTGTTGTACTTTTTGGATGCTTTTAAAATGACGGAAGTTCCCAAAAAATTATCATGGATATTTTGATTCATTTCACAAGCTTGTTAAGATCATTAACATTAATTTGTGATAATACTTTAAATATGGATTTATATTGGGGTTCAAGTGCAATTATTTACAAAACTTATTAACGTTCAAAAATTGTTATCAATCATTGGCGGTGATTATCTAGATCATGATTTTTTGAGCTATCATTGGTCAACAATTAGACAATTTATTTCACTCCAAGAAATTTATATTGAAGGTTGTTATGGATGGCATAAATCGGATTGTTTACCCTTGGCTTCATCATTTACTCAATTAAGTAGTTGCCATTTTCAATATATAGATAATAGAATTCCCTGAAAATTTATTATAAAAATTCTTATTTGATGTATTTTCAACAATTTTAAATTATTGTACAAAGATCACCGATTTAACTATTTAATTTAAGTCCCGAACATGTAATAGCAATATTTAATAATTTTAAAGAATTAAGAAGATTTTCATTTGATTGTGGAGGAAGAGGGTTTGATGCTAATGAATTATTATGTCAAATGGCCGAGAATTTATCAGAATCATTTGAAACTATCGAAATTAGAATGAATTATTATGATCCATGGATATTTAGTGCTGAAGAATATTTTTTTGAAGGGTGGTGTCGTCGTAAAGTAGGAGTACGAAATAAAAAATTAAGGGGATTACGTATCGAACATTTAAGACACACACCCCACGATTCCCATCAGGAATAATAGTTGATGACCATTTAAACGTAATCGAAGAATATGAAATCGAATTTTGATATTAAAAATATGTGTTTGTGTATTTTTGATTATTATTTTGATAATCATTACATCGGAGCAAAGTAGTTACAAATTATATATATAAATGTGATATTATTATTTTTTATATTTGTTATCATCATTATTGGTACGGATCATGAGTTGAGGAAGAAAGCATTATATTAGAACATATATATAATGTATGAATACTCAAGCTAGAAATTTACTTATTCAAAATGGATTTGATTTATCATCATCACCATTTCAAACTACTTTTAATTATCTATCATAATATATTTGCAACAAATTATTGGTCCGGATCAAGATGATGATGATGGTTACGAAGTCCATCAGGAAATTTTATTAGGCGAAAATTTGCGCAAATTTTCGCCTAATAAAATTTCCTGATGTTGCTATCACCAAATCGAGAATATAATTTCGTGAGATATGCAAATTAATAATTAAATGTTGTTATTTTTGGATCAATTTAAAATGACGAGTTCCCATGAATTAATTTTTTTAAATTATTTGATGGTTCAATCGCCGAGTTACCTGGTGCCCGAAAGTATTTATGGGATTATCCGATGAGATCTTTAAATATTAATCTGTGATAATATTTTAAATATGGATTTATTTTTGAATTCAGATTCTCAAACGAAATTATTATTCATTTTTGAGGTTATAATTAATCAAAAAGAAACTTCGAATAGTCTTCGTTTAAAATCAGTAAATTTTTATAGTTTCAAGAGAAATAATAACCAAATGGGCAGTTTATTTCACTTCAAGAACTTTATATTGAAGATTGTTATGGATTCTATAAAACTGGTCGCTTATCCTTGGCTTCATCAATTCCTCGATTAAGTAGTTTTCATTTTATATATTCGTATATAGGTATCCTCAAGAATTATTATAAAAATTCTCGAAACGGCAATACAAATTTAAGAATTATTTGTCAAGATTTATATTCTCCAATTACATTTGATACATTTTCAGCAATTTAAAATCACTGTAAAAATCAACTAAATAATTTAAGTCCCGATCAAGTAATAGCAATATTTAATAATAATTTTAATGAATTAAGAAGAATTTCATTTGATTGTGGAGGAAAAGGGTTTGATGCTAATGAATTATTATGTCAAATGTACTGTACCAGAATCACTTGAAACTATTGAAATTGCATTTCGATAACCCATGGACATTTGGTGCTGATAATTTAAGAAAATTTTTTAAAAGGTGGTGTTGTAACATTGAAAACAATGGGTGATGAACATTCATATGAAATAATATTCCGAATAAAATATCATTCATTTTTTTTGTTATTATTATTTAATCTTTGTGGCGTATTTTGTGTATTTTTAATTATTATTTTGGTAACCGTAGTTACACTCAATAAATTTTATAAATAAATGTGATACAATTATAATTTTTTCTATTTTTCTTCGATATAAAAAAAAATGGCAACTAAAGTTCCCACAGAAATATTAATTAAAATTTTAAATAATCTACAATCATCTCCTTCAACTCAAGATTTATATTCATCATTATTAGTTAATCGAATCTGGTGTAAAGTTACTATACCTATACTTTGGGAATTACCTTTTGGTCGAGAATGTTTTGGATATGATAAGAAGTTGAGCAAGAAAGCGTTATGTATTCGAACATATATATCATGTATGGATACTCAAGCTAGAAATTTACTTATTCAAAATGGATTTGATTTATCATCATCTCCACCTCAAGCTACTTTTAATTATCCATCATTCACTCATAAATTTATAATTAATAATTTAGTTTATTTTATTTCCAAATATTCAAAACACATTATTGGTAAAAAAATCTTCGAATTAAGAATATTATTTCGTGAGATATCTAGATTGATAATAACTCGTTGTTCATTTTTGAATTATTTTAAATTGGCGAGAGTTAGCGTAAATTATTCTTCAAATTATAGTGATTCAATTAATTCATTTCTCAAGTTACCTGGTGCCCCGAAAGTATTTAAGAAATTAGAAAGTTTTACTTCGACAATAGGAAATGAGCATCCGATTGGACCATTATATGAATCATTAATATTAATCTGTGACAACATTTTAAATATGGATTTATTTTTGGGTTCAGAAGCTCGAACAAAATTATCAACAAAACTTATTAGTGTTCAAAAACGGTTAGAAAATTTATCACTTAGTGCTAATAATTATTTAAATTTTAATTCATTATTATGGGCTATCATTAGTCAAAAAGAAACATTAAAGAGTCTTCATTTAAAATTCATAAGTTTTAAAAATTTCGAGGGGAAATCATCACAAATTGGACAATTCACTTCACTTCAAGAGCTTTATATTAAGGATTGTTATGAATTGCATAAATCGGAATGTTTATTTTTGGCTTCATCATTTACTCAATTAAGTAGTTTTCATTTTATAAGAATATGTGATGTACCCCAAGAATTTATTATAAAAATTCTCGAGACGGCCAATTCGAATTTAAAAAACATTTGTTTAGAATTATATTCCGCAATTTCATTTGAAATATTTTCAGCAATTTTAAATTATTGTACAAGGATTACAGAATTAACTTTATATGGTTTAAGTTCTGAACAAGTAATAGCAATATTTAATAATAATTTTAATGATTTAAGAAGATTTAGATTTTATTGTAGAGAAGAAGAAATTGATGCTACTGAATTATTATACAAAATGGCCGAGAATGTACCAGAATCATTTGAAACTATTGAGATTAGAATGAAAAATGGTGATCTTCGGATATTTAGTGCTAACAGTTTAAGAAATTTTTCAAAGGGAGGTGTTGTTGTAAAGGAGGAGGAGGAAATAAAAAATTAAGGGGATTACATGTCGAACATACAAGACAAACACCGCCATTTACATTGGAAATAATGGGTGATGGCAATGACTATTTTAAAGTTATTGAAGAATATGGAGTTCAATTTGATAAGAAATATTATTTCATTTCTTTTTATTACTATTGTAATCGACACTTCGAGATAGTTACACTGAATCATAATTAGAGATGGTAATTTTACGGTATAATAAATTTTGGTATATATAATAACCAGCTATTATACCGTATAATAACCGTATAATAACATTTGTATATCATGTGATGTAAAATTATCGACGTTAGGATTTTATTTATAAAATTTATATCATTTACATATTTTATTCGTCATCATTATTATTTAAATCATCTATCAAATGTATTAAATCAATATTTTCTGAAATAATATCAAAATATTGTAAAATATTATCATCACCTTCATTAATTTCTTTATCAGTATCAATCTCTTCTTCAATACTTTCATTATTTTCGTTACCAATTCTAATATTAATTTAATCTAACTTATCTAATCTCTTATTATCATGAATTCTAAGATTTGCATGGATATAAACTAGTTTTTTAACACGATCATTGTGTTAATGATTACGAATTTTGCTATGAATAAATCCAAAAGTAGAAAAATTACATTCAGCAGCAGCTGATGATGTAAGAATTGAAAGGATCTTAATTGCTATAAGTTGAAGTTTACTATTTAGTCATTATTTCCACCACATTGATGGAATAAGTATAAAAGCTGATTCCCAAATTATATCATTATCATATGGTGAATTCTTACTTCGAAATTTAACCAATTCTACAAATTGTTCTACAAAATCTTCATGACTAAATTGACTATTTACATATGATGTAAATTCATTATATCCTGCTGCTTCCATATTAAGTGTCCTACTTTCTTCCAAAAAAGTGGATCAAGCATATATGCAACTGCCATAGTTTTATGATAAGCATATTCCAATCATTCTTCAATAAGTTTTTGTATTTGATCATTAAAATCACATGGAATTTCTAATAATTTTTTCAAAATTAGAGTAAATTGACGAAAGAGTAGATATATCTGATTCAAATACTTCAATGTAATAACTATTAGTTTTAAAATATTTATTACCAATTCTAATTTTTTCAAAAAACTTCTTCAAGAACATGGGCTCTTAAATTATGATCCATATTTTGTCAAATTTTTAAATCCATTAATGTTTGTTCTATAGCAATTCTTGATCTTTGTAATAATTGGAGACATTAAGATGTGTTCCCCATCATGTAAGAATTGGTAAAACTAATGAAATTTCTTTACCATAATTTTCACATTGAATACATTTAAATTTTGCCATTGATTGTGTGTGCGATTTAAAATATTTGGCAATATTTTTTGCATCATCTACTACAGATTTCACTTCATTAATTTTTATAATATCCTTAATTAAAAGATTCATAATATGAGAAATACAACCAAACAAATTATATTGTGATATTCATGTTCTATAATTCGCCATGCTGCTTTCATTACATTAGCTGTATCTGTGATAACAGCTGAAAACTTTTTAATATCAATAATTTTCATTTGTTGAATTATTCCACTTGCAATCCATTCAGCTTAATGCAATCCTTTCCTGAATATGTAACATCAAAAAAAAATGGTTTGGGAGTACAGACTATGAAATTTTATACCAATTCTTGATTAATATTTGACCAGTCATCCGAAGACATACATAAATTTTGTGCTAATAAAATCTCTTTATCAGATTCTTCTTTCACTTCTTCAAAAACCTTGTCTAATAATTCAGTTGCAAGTTTTCTTCTATTAGGTAATTTGAAAGAAGGACAAATGCTTTAAAAAAAATTAGTTGGATACAAATTTTCAGTAAAAATAATAGATATTCCTGCTGCAAATATCATTTTTATAAACATAATTCAAGTTTTTCTTGTTCTTTCTCAGTTACGCAATCAACAAAATTTTCTTTTATAGTTGTTTTTTTTTCTTTTTTGACTTTGATTAATTGTAGATACAGACGTGCTGGTTTCATTTAATTGTTCATTTGATTGTTCATTGTTAAAAAATGGATTTGTCCTTTTCTTCAATTTTGCATTATCAGGTGCTCCTCTACAGTCTTTATCAAGATGGACTTGCATTCGAGTGGCAATTCCACAATCAAAAATTTTAGAACAGTAATTACATTTAACACAAGGATGCAGTTTATTACTTTCATCATTTTCATCTACAAGTACAGTCCAATGTTTCCACACTAAACCTTTTTTATTCCCATGAATAGTTATTTTTTTTTATTTTTTGAAGCTTCGGACATTTAATAATTAATACATTTCTATTGGCTAATATATTACATTCTTATTGGATGATCTATATTATACCAATAACCAATTATACAGTTATACGATACCAATTATACCGTTATTATACCAGGTTTATTATACCATGGTAAAATAACCCCATCCCTAATCATAATATATATATATGATACAATTTTTTTAATGAATAAAATTAATTCTTCCTTAAATTTTCTATTTCTTAAATATTAAAAATTTCCACAGAAATATCATTATCTCGTTCAACTCATTCACCATTATTAGTTAATCTAATCTGGTATAAAGTTACTATACCTATACTTTGAGAATTACCTTTGGATCAAGAATATTGTTGTACAGATAATAAGAATAAGTTGAGAAAGAAAACATTATATATTCGAACTTACATATCGTGTATGGATATTCAAGCTAGAACTTTTATTTACTTGATATATCATCATCACCACTTCAAGCACTTTTGATTATCCATCATTCACTTTCTTGTGAATATATGGTTATAAAAAAGTAGCACTAGTGATGACGTGATGTTGATGAGGAAATCAACAAATCGAGAATATTATTTCGTGAGATATTCAAATTAATAATAAGTCGTCGTACATTTTTGGATTGTTTTAAATTAAACAGAGTTCTCAGAAAATGTTATAAAAATTATCTTGATTATTTTGATATACTTAGTTCAATTCTCGAGCTACCTAGTGCCCTGAATGCATTTAAGGAATTAGAACCGTTTGTTTTGGATTAGGTGAATTATGAACCTGAACTGATTAGACCATTATATTTTAAATATCAATATGGATTTATATTCATGTCCATAATTAACATTAATAAAACTTATAAGTATTCAAAAACGGTTAGAAAATCTATCAATTGTTGTCATTACGGTCTAGATTGTAATTCATGATTATGTGCTGATAGTTAAGAATTTTTTCGAAGGGTGGTGTTGTAAAGGAGGAAATAAACTTAGAATATTACGTATAAAACGTTCATTAACATTGGATGGTCATTCCACCATTAAACTTGGTAACAATAAGTATTGAACATTTTAAAGTTATTGAAGAATACGAATCCAATTTGATATGAAATAACGAAAACTTTATATCGCACGAATACCTTATTATATGCCGAAGGGTTTAGTGTATTTATCACTTGCGAAAAGCATATTTGTCACTCTATACTCGTTACCTATCATTATCACACGTGAAATAATATTCCGAATAATAATAAATTTTATATAAATGCGATACGATTATTCTATTTCTATTTTTCGGCACAAAAAAAATGGCGACTAAAGTTCCCACAGAAATATTAATTAAAATTTTAAATAATTTCAATCATCATCTCGTTCAACTTAAGATTTATATTCATCATTATTAGTTAATTGAATCTGGTGTAAAGTTACCATACCTATACTTTGGGAATTAACTTTGGGTCAAAAATGTTATTATACAGACGATAAGAATTTAAGGAAGAAAGAATTATGTATTCGGACTTATATATCATGTATGAATTTTCAAGCTAGCTAGTTTATTTTATTTACATATATTCACAACAAATTATTATTGATGATGGTTACGAACTCGCTATCACCAAATCGAGAATATTTATTCATGAGATATGTAAATTAATAATTAAACGTTGTGAATATGTGGATTGCTTTAAAATAACGTGAGTTCCCATAAAAATTTCTTCAGTTTTTCTAAATTATAATGATTTAATTGGTTCAATTATCGAGTTACCCGGCTCTTCGAAAGTATTTGAAGTTTTTAAAATCAATTTGAGATAATATTTTAAGTATGGATTTGTTCTTGAACTCAGATTCTCAAGTGGAATTATTAGCGATACTTATTAGTGTTCAAAAACGATTAGAAAATCTATCAATTATATCAATTATTTATCATAAAATTCGTAATTCAATATTTCGGGCTATCATTAGTCAAAAAGAAACATTAGTCTTCGTTTAAAATCAGTTAGTTATGATTGTTTTGAGGGAAAATTATCACCACCAATTGGACAATTTATTTCACTTCAAGATCTTTATATTAAAGATTGTTACGGATTGCATGAATCGGGAAGTTTAATCTTGACTTCGTCATTTACTCAATTAAATAGTTTTCATTATTTTCATTTGAGAGATACATTTAATAGGCTAATTATTGTACAAAGATTATCAAATTAACTTTACTAAATTTAAGTCCCGAACAAGGAATAACGATATTTAATAATAATTTTAATGAATTAAGAAGATTTTCATTTGATTGTGGCAAAGGATTGGACGCTAATGAATTATTATGTACGATTTCCGAGAATGTACCAAAATTACTTGAAACAATTATCCATGGATATTTAGTGCTGAAGTTTAAGAAAATTTTTCGAAGGGTGGTGTCGTAAAGGAGGAGGAAATAAGAAACTTAGCTGGTTTGCGTATAGAACGCATGAGACAAGCATCACGATTATTACCATTTAAATCAGAAACAATAAGTGTTGAAATTATTGAAGAATATGGGTTTATTTATTAAAAAAAGTATGTTTGTATGTAATTTTGCCCAGTGGTGACAAATAGATTTACTCTATTTATTATATTTTTTTTTTGTTATTCTTAATTAATAAATATTTACTTATTTGTATTTCATCATGTGATATAGGGGGAAGAATCCATTAATTATACTAAAACAGAAAAAATATGTTGTGTCGTGTATTGCGTATTCCATTATTTATTTATTATTTTGCTATGTGGAACATTTAAAAATGTTACTAATTCTGTTTAACTATAAAAACTAATAAAAAAATATTTTTTTGGCGCCAATGGCGAAAAATTTAAAATTTAGATACGATAAAAATTTATAAAAAAAATTAATTAGATTTTTTTACGTATCGATTTTTTTTTAACGAAAAAATAAAAATCGAATTTATTTTATTAAAAGTATATTTTTTGGTAAGCTTTGATGTATCTATTATTATTATTATTATTATTATTATTATTATTATTATTATTATTATTATATCGCATAAATTTTTCAAATTAACATTAAATTAATTTAATTAAAATAATTTATTAAAATAGGTTAATTAAAATAATAATAATAATTTAGATAGATGGAGTCAAAATATTTTAAAATAATAATAATTATATTTGTATATTTTAATAATTATGGAGCATTTGCGGTGGAACCTCGATATCAACATAATAGTTTATTAGTAGGAAATAATTTATTTTTATTAGGAGGGTTATCAGAAACAAGTGGAACAGAAAAAGAAATGTTTTTTATTGATTTAACTAAATCTTTTAAAGCCAATAATCCGCCGTGGGAAGATATAACATCATATTCACCTATTCCAATTGATTTTTATCATGGAACCTCGATATCAGTTAATGCTTCTACAATTTATATATTTGGAGGAGAAGGAAATAATAAGAATAATAGTAATTTCGTGTACCGTTTTTCTATCGAATCTGAAGGTCAGACAGTTTCTTGGAATGATCAGCTAGAAACTACTGGAACTCTACCGTCAACTAATCGATATGGAATTTCATCAGCATTTGACCCAAGTACAGGGGATATTTATATATTTGGAGGAAAATCAATTGATGAAAAAGAAAATCCAATATTTCATAATGATTTATTTAAATTTAATTATAATCAACTTACTTGGGAAATAATGTCTAATGATAGTTCACCTACTAAAAGATATGATTATACATCAACAATGGTTCGAGGGTATATATTCTATATTGGTGGAATTGAACAAGACGACAAAAATTCAACTAGATTTGTTGATATTAATAAGGTTTGCTATCTAAAAATTTTTTATTATTTTAAAATTTATATTTAATAAAATTTAGATTATTTTCTAATGTTTATTTATACATTTATTATCTATCTATAGGTTTACATTTATAATACTAATGATGATACTTGGGGTGATTATGTGAGTAATATTATATATATATTATTATTATATATATATAGATTATAATATATATATCGTATTTTATTTATATGTATTTCATATCATATGTACTCTATATATATTATATTTTTGCTTAAAGCTGTTTTTTTTTTTCAAAAAAAAATATAATAGCTGACTTCCGGAGATAAAATTGGAAATCGAACTGGTCATTCTGCTTCAGCGAGTAAATATTAATTTAAATATATTTTTTTATTATATCTTTTATCAAATCTTTTTATTATATTTTTCGCGTGCTTTGATGTTTAATTTTTTTTTTTTTTTTAATATAATAAATTAGCATCAGATGATAATATTATTATTTATGGTGGATCAGAGTCAATTGACTCTTTAACTGCAGTTCAACCACTTCTTGCAGTGTTGGATGTAGTAAATCTTAAATGGTCAGCACCTAGTGTTATAATATCAAATGGTATGGGAGAAGATCTTCCAGCATTAGCGTATCATTCAGCTGTGATTCGTGGAGATTATATGATTATAAGTTATGGTAATTTGATTAATTAATTATCTTTATTTATATTTATTTATTTAATTTTTTTTTTTATTTTTTTTTTTATTTTTTTATTTTATTTTATTTTATTTATTTTTATTTTTATTTTATTTTTATTTTTTATTTTTTATTTTTATTTATTTTATTTTTTTTATATATTTTTTTATTTTATTTTATTTTATTTTTAATTATTATTCATTTATTTTTATATTTATTTTATTTTATTTTTATTAATTATTATTCATTCATTCATTTATATTTAATTTAGGCAACTTTACGACGAATTCAACACTTAATCCTAATGTTTACATTGTTAATACAAAAAATTATGATTGGGTTTCTGAATATTCTCCATCTGGTTAATATATTTATTTATTATTATTTTTAGTATTGTTATTTTTATTATTATTATTAATCCATTAAAATCCATTGATTCTAATTAATTATTTATTTTAGCAACAAAATCAAATAAAGAAAAGATTATTATAGCAGTAGTCATCTCACTATCTATCATACTTATAATAGGAGCTATTGGAATTTGGTATTATTATCGCAAGAAGAAAAAATCAGATGATAATGATACTCTATCTAAAGATTCATCTTCTGATAATAATGTTCGTCGTAATTATAATGACACTAATACTATGTCGATTCTTTCTGACAGTCAAAATTATATTCCACCACTATCTTCTCAATTTAATAGCTCTTCTCAAATAAATGATCCATCTCCTCAACATAGAAATCCTGATGATAAATTATCATATCAGAATCAACTTTATCAACAAAATCAAGAACAATTGATTATGATGAATCAACAATTGTTGCAAGAACGACAACAATTGGTGAATCAACTAGCGAATCAACAACAAATGAATCAACTAGCAAATCAACAACCAATGAATCCAATTAATCAACAACGACAACAACAATATATGAATCAAGAAAACCAATTTTTACCAAATTCACATCTTTCAAATTATTCATATCAATCTTCAAAAACAGCTGTAGACAAAGGAGATGCTCATGAAGTTTCTGTTCAAAATCAAGATCAAACCGATTATTCTTATCAACCACAACAATACATTTCTGGATCTGAATCGCAAACTGATCAAACTCCTTCCCCTAATAATCCTAATCAAATTTATCACCCGATTCCTAATATTCCTATTCCTAATCTATCTTATCCTTCACAACAATACATTTCTGGATCTGGTTCTCAAATCGATCAACCTCCTTCCCCTACAACTCTTAATCCTAATAATCCTAATCAAATTTATCCCCCTATTTCTAATATTCCTAATCTATCTTATACTCCATCCCCTACACCTCATATTAATCTAACTTACAATCCTACAATTCCTAATCCTAATGTATCTTATACCCCTAGAAATACTAATCCTGTTATAACTTACAATTATGCCGCTGTTCCTATTCAACATATACCAAATGTTTCGGATATGACTCAAGATCCATCTCAGGATTCATCTCGAGGTACACCTTTGATTCCTCAAGATTCAACTAATAACTCATCCAATACTTCACCCAATATTTTATTATCTCAACCATTTAATCCTGATAATAATCCTGGAAGCAATCCTGAAAGCAATCCCGAAAGCAATCCTGATATTGATTTCAATAATTAGTCTTCAAAAAAATTTTTTTTATATTCTATATTCTATTCTTTTTGTAATTTTATTATTTTATTTTGCTTTGGTTCGATTTTTTTGGGGGGTTTGGAAATTATTTTATGCATTTATTTGTGTATTATTTAATGCATTTATTTGTATTTTTATATTTTAATATTCGCAAAAAAATCAGTAAATTAAATTTATTAAGATTTATGGATTTTTTTTTTATCGTTATCTGTAGAATAAGTAAATATTTATTAATTAAAAATAATAATAAAGATACAGAAAAAAAAAAAATAAATAAATGAATAGGTATTTAAGATATTATTTGGAATATTATTCCATATCAAATTGAATTCCATATTCTTTAATAACTTTAAAATATTCATTACTTATTGAAACACAGTTTAATGATGACAAAATCATCTAATGTTAATGAACGTTTTATACATACGTAATTTTCTAAGTTTATTTCTTCCTCCTTTACAACACAACCCTCAAGAAATATTCTTAAACTATCAACACTAAAATATCCATGAATCATTATAATCCATTCTAATTTCAATAGTTTCATTCTCGGCTATTTGAAAATAATAATTCATTAGTATCGAATTCTTTTCAACTAATTCATTAAAATTATTATTAAATATTACTATTACTTGTTCGGGACTTAAATTCTGTGAAGATAATTTGGTAATCTTTGTACAATAATTGAAAATGTATCAAATGTAATTGTGGAAAATAATTTTAGACAAATATTCTTAAATTTGTATTGGCCGTTTCGAGAATTTTTATAATAAATTTTTGAGGATACTCATAATCTTGACCCGAATAAAATAACGAAAACTACTTACTTGATTAATTGAGTAAATGATGAAGCCAAGAATAAACATTCCGATTCATGCAATCCATTATAATTTTTATTATAAAGCTCTTGAAGTAATATGAATTGTCCAATTGGTAAAAATTTACTGATATTAAACGAAGACTCTTTAATGGTTCTTCTTTATTAATGATAGCCCAAAGTAATTGAACATTAATAAGTTTGTTAATAATTTGGTTTGAGGTTCTGAACCCAAAGATAAATCCATATTTAAAATATTATCACAGATTAATATTAATGATTCAGGTATTGGTTCAATCGGATTCCAGTTTCTTATTGTCGAAGTAAAACTTCTAATTCCTTAAATACTTTTGGGGCACCAGGTAACTTGAGAATTGAGCTAATTGAATTATTATAATAAAGATAATAGTTAAAAAATCTTTTGGGATCTTCCGTTATTTCAAAAGAATCCAAAAACTTGCAACGATTTATTATTAATTTGAATGTCTCAAAAAATAATATACGATTTGGAGATAGCGAATTCGTAATCATCATCATTAATAATATCATCATCAAGTTGTGAATGTATGGAAATGAAATAAATTAAATTATAAAATATAAATTTATGAGTGAATGATGGATAATCAAAAGTGACTTGAGGTGGTGATGATGATAAATCAAATCCCTTTTGAATAATTAAAGTTCTAGCTTGAGTATCCATACATGATATACATATAAGTTCGAATACATAACAACTCAGGATCTGTTCAAAATCAAAATCAACAATTATTTTTATTAAACACAGCAATACATTTCTGAAACTGGTACTTAAACTGATCAACCACCCCCTTCCCTATAACTCCTACAACACCAATTATAAAAATCCTAATCAAATTTATCCAATATTCAAGATCTATCTTATCCTCCTTCTCCTACAACTCCTATTCCTAATCCTGCTGTTCCTAATAGAATACCAATCCTGTTATAACTTAGATTATGCCACTGTTCCCATTCAACATATTCCAAACGTTTCTGATATGACTCAAGATTCATCTTAGGATTCATCTAAAGTTCACCTGTGATTTCTTAAGATTCAACTAATAATTCGTCTAACACTTCACCTAATCTTTTATTATCTTATCAAAATTAATATCAGGATTGCTATTATCAGGATTATATGGATAACAATCCTGGCTATTTGTCTTAAAAAAAAGTTAAATTCTATATTCTATATTCTATTCTTTTTGTCATGTGTTTATGTAATTTTATTATTTATTTTATTTTATTTTTTTTTTTGATTTTTGAAACATTGTTCATTTATATTATTTGAATCGTCTAATGTATTTTAATATTATAATATTCGCAAAAAAATTAATAAATTATTTTTTTTTCGTCACCTGTAAAATAAGTAAATATTTATTGATCAAAAATAATAATAACAAAATACAAAAAAAAAAAAAATAATAAAGGAATAGTATTTGAGATATTATTCAGAATATTATTCCATATCAAAGCGAATTCCATATTCTTCAATAACTTTAAAATGTTCACTACTTATTGTTACCAAATTTAATGGTGGCATAAAATCATTCAGTTTTAATGATCGTTTTATACGTAATATTCTAGGTTTATTTCCTCCTCCTTTACAACACCACCCCTCAAGAAATATTCTTAAACTATCAGCACTAAATATCCATGGATCATTATAATCCATTCTAATTTCAATAATTTCAAGTGATTCTGGCACATTCTTGGTTATTTGACATAATAATTCATCAGCATCGAATTCTTCTCCACAATCAAACGAAAAACTTCTTAATTCATTAAAATTATATTAAATATTGCCATTATTTGTTCAGGACTTAAATTTTGTAAAGATAATTTGATAATCTTTGTGCAATAATTTAAAATTGCTGAAAATGTATCAAATGTAATTGTTTCATATAAATCTAGACAAATATTTTTTAACCTTATATTTGCCGTTTGGAGAATTTCTATAATAAATTCTCGAGGATAACTATCTATATGTCTAGAATGAAAATAATGAAAACTATTCAATTGAGTAAATGATGAAGCCAAGAATAAACAGTCCGAATTATGTAATCTGTAACAATGTTTAATATAAAGTTCTTGAAGTGAAATAAATTGTCCAATTGATGCCAATTTTCCTTTGAAGTTAGAAAAATCTACTAAATCTAAACGAAGACTCTTTAATGTTTCTTTTCGACTAATGATGGCCCAAAATAATGAATTAGGAAGTCGATAAAAATTACCAGCAATTGATAAATTTTCTAACCATTTTTGAACAATAATAAGTTTTTCTAATGATTCGATTTGAGGATCTGAATTCAAAGATAAATCCATACTTAAAATATTATCACAAATTAATTTTAATGATTCGTATAAAGGTTCAGTCAGATTAAGATTTCTTCTTATTGTCGATGTAAAACTTTCTAATTTTTTAAAAACTTTCGGGGCACCAGGTAAGTTGAGAATTGAACCAATTAAATCACCATAACGTAGATAAATATTTTTTAAAAAACACTTGGGAACTCTCACCAATTTAAAACAATCCAAAAATGTACAACGATTTATTATTAATTTGCATATTTCATGAAATAATATTCTCGATTCGGTGGTGACGATTTCCTCATCAGCATCATCACTATTGCTATTTTCCTGATCTGGACTAACAATTTGTTGTGAATATATGGAAACAAAATAAACTAAATTATTAATTATAAATTTATGGGTGAATGATGGATAATCGAAAATAGCTTGAGGTGGTGATGATGATAAATCAAATTTATTTTGGATAAGTAAATTTCTAACTTGAGTATCCATACACGATATATAAGTTCGAATACATAATGCTTTCTTCCTCAACTCATGTTCCGTATAATATTCTTGACCCAAAGTTAATTCCCAAAGTAAAGGTATAGTAAATTTACACCAGATTCTATTAACCAATAATGATGAATATAAATCTTGAGTTGAACGAGATGATTGAACATTATTTAAAACTATAATTAATATTTCTGTTGAAATTTTATATGCCATTTTTTTTTATACCGAAGAAAAAATAAAATAAGATAAAATAAAAGAAAAATAATAATCGTATCACATTTATATATTTAATTAATGATTAAGTGTAACTATTCCGATGCAATAATTAACCAGAATAATAATCAAAAATCCACAAAAGCGCCACAAAGATACAAAAAAAAAAAAAAATTAAATGAATATTAATAAAATTTGGAATATTCAGTCATATCAAATTGAATTCCATATTCTTCAATAACTTTAAAATGTTCATCACCCATTGTTTTCAATGTAAGTGGTAAAAATCTTTTAGATGGTCTTCTAAATAGTGGTGATCGTATTAGTCTTATACATAATCTCCTAAATTTTTTATTTCCACCTCCTTTACAACAACCCCACCCTTCAAAAAATTTTCTTAAACTCTCAGCACCAAATATCCATGAATATTCACAATCCATTCTAATTTCAATAGTTTCAAGTGATTCTGGTACATTTTCGGCCATTTGACATAATAATTCATTAGAATCGAATCCTCGTCCGCAATCAAATGAAAAACTTCTTAATTCATTAAAATTATTATTAAAAATTGCCATGATTTGTTCAGGACTTAAATTATATAAAGTTAATTCTGTAATCCTTGTACAATAATTTAAAATTGCCGAAAATATATCAAATGTAATTGTGGAATTTAATTCTAGACAAATATTTTTTAAATTTGTATTGGCTGTTTCGAGAATTTGTATAATAAATTCTTGAGGATATGTATCTTTTACATAAACTGAATGAGTATAATGAAAACTATTTAATTGAGTAAATGATGAAGCTAAGAATAAACATTCTGATTCAAGAAATCCGTTGCCATTTTCAACATAAAGCTTTTGAAGTGAAGTAAACTGTCCAATTGGTGATAATTCCCTCTTGAAGCTATAAAAATTTACTGAAATTAATCGAAGACTCTTTAATGTTTCTTTTAGACTAATGATAGCCCAAAATATTGAATTAATATCAAGTTGTTTTACCAAATTATTATCAGTAATTGATAGATTTTCTAACCGTTTTTGAACGCTAAGAAGTTTCGTTAATGGTTCCATTCTAGGAATACAATGAAAAAATAACTCCATATTTAAAATATTATTACAAATTAATGCTAATGATTCATATAATGGTTTATCCCTTTTTATTATTATCGAAGTAAAACTTTCTAATTCCTTAAATACTTTCGAAGCACCAGGTAACTTGAGAATTGAACCAATTGAATCATTAAAATTAAAACAACTCATATAAAATCTTCTGTGTACTCCCGTTATTTTAAAAGAATCCACAAATTCGCAACGATTTATTATTAATTTGCATATCTCAAAAAGTAATATTCTCGATTTGGCGATAGCGACTTCGTTATCGCTATAATCGTCATCATCATCTTCATCATCAAGTTGTAAATATATGGAAATAAAATAAACTAAATTATTAATTATAAATTTATGAATGAATGATGGATAATCAAAAGTGGCTTGAGGTGGTGATGATAATAAATCAAATCCATTTTGAATAAGTAAATTTCTAGCTTGAGTATCCATACATGATATATATGTTCGAATACATAATGCTTTCTTCTTCAACTTCTCATAATCTATATCTGTTTCTATGCGATATTCTTGGCCCAAAGGTAATTCCCAAAGTATAGGTATAGTAACTTTACACCAGATTCGATTAACTAATAATGATGAAAATAAGTCTTGAGTTGATTGAACATTATTTAAAATCGTAATCAATAATTCTGTGGAAATTTTATTTGCCATCTCATCTTTTTTTTTATATCTGAAATAAAAAAAGATAATAGTCGATCACATATAATTAATATATGTGTAACATCAAAAATACACAGAATACGCCACATCAAAATAATCACGATATAATAAACAAATGAGATATGAATAAAGAATATTAAATAAATAATGAAATTAAAATTTAATCATTTGTTTTATAAATAAACAAAAACAAATCTTCGATTCATCTAAAATTTTTTTTAGATCGAGTTTTTTTTTTTGATTAAGGACTACTTAAAATTATTCAATAAAGATAATTAAAAGAGTTTAATTCTAATTATTATAGCAACTTAATTGTCTTGATATTTAATTATAGATTTTTCAGTGATTTATAATTCAGTAAATATTTCTTAAGAATTTTATATTAAATGTTCTTTTGTTTTTAGCATAGAACTAGAGTCTGTCTTTAATAAATTTTATAGAAATCAATTAATGATGAAAACTCATTATTATTTTTAAACTGAATTTGTAATTAAACAGCGGAATTAAAGCCTTTCTGATTGATTTCTATTTTTTCCATTCCACATATTTCATATTTTGGACTTTACAAAAATAAATAACAAAAAAAAATAATAAAAAATAATTAATTAATTAATAATTAATGATCATGATCATTAAACATTACAAATATGATACAATTTTCATTTCTTTTTGGAATATGATAAATATATTGTAATAAATCTATGAACAAAAAACAGAAAAGAAAATAATCTCGATAATACTATTTAAATCATATCATATTAATTAAACCTAAAATATTATTCAATATTAATATAGCAAAAATGAAATATATTATATGCAAAATTAAAGTTGTATATAATGAAATTTTTTAATTTCGTCAATATAAGCTGATACTATTACTTTCATCACAGAAACTATTCATTAAAAGAATCAAATTATATATGTATCATATTCACACCACTCGATTGGGGCTAAGCAAATTTAATTAAAGAATCTATTTTATACCAAAGTTGTTATACTCCATAAATCGCATGAATAATTTGATAATGAAATAAAAAATGACATTTTATTTTTTTTCGCGTTTTGTTCCTGATGACCACCATTTCATTCTTTGTAAAGTCCCTTTAAAAAAAATTATCCCATTGACTGAATTCTCTTTCCACAAAGTCATTCCACTTCAATTCTTTTTATGTTACATTTTAATTAAATATAGTTCAAAAAGAATAAAGGGCTTTTACAAAGAACGAAATGGTGATCGTCAAAGGAACAAATTGATCATACCGCAAAGTGCATCTCATAACTATGCATTATAGCAAAAAAAAAAAAATAAATAAATAAAAAATCTCGATTTGGTGATGGTGATTTCATCATTATAATTATCATTTTGATCTTTAACAATAATTCATTGTGAATATCGGAAAATTAGCTAAATTATTAATCATAAATTTATGAGTGAATAATGGCTAATCAAAAACAGCCTGAAGTAGTGATAATGATAAATCAAATCCATTTTGAGTAAGTAAAGTTCTAGCTTTAGTATCTATACATGATAAATAAGTTCGAATACATAATGCTTTCTTCTTCAAGTTCGACTTCTATCTGCACAATATTAAATTAATTCCCAAAGCATATATAATATATACAATAACTTTGTACCAGATTTGATTAGCTATCGACAACTTGCACTAAATATTTTTCTCAGATCAAATGATAATAGTTAAATGTCATGTCAATAGCTTTTATGACTTTATGATTTAATAGTAAACACAAATTATATTCCGAAATAATTAAGAATCTTTTGAATCTTCACCACAACAGTAAACTTTGCAATAATTTTTTGTAGTAATAAAAACGAAGGATGCTTACAATTCTGATAAAGAACTTATCACTTGCAATATACATATTTCAAATATGGAGTTATTTATGGATTCCGTCCCTAAAATTAAATTATTAGAGAAACTTATTAGTGTTCAAAACAGTTAGGAAATCTATCAATTGTTGGTGGTGCTAATGAAGACCATGATTTATTACTTTAGGTCATCATTAGTCAAAAAGAAACAATAAAGAGTTTTCATTTATCCTCAGTAAATTTTAGCGATTCCGATGATAAATCATCACCAATTGGACAATTTGTTTCACTTCGGGTGCTTTATATTGAAGATTGTTTCGGATTACATAAAAAGAATTGGCTATCTTTGACACTCAATTAAGTAGTATTATTTTTATTCGGAATATGAATTTGAATTTAATGATTATTCTCAAGAATTTATTGTAAAAATTCTTGAAACGGCCAATACAAATTTAAAAAATATTCATCTATCTTATTTATCTGAAATTCGAACCCAAGATATATAGAAAATATGTACTACTAAAAAAAATTATTTAATGACTTACAGTTTTTGCAAATTTTGCAAATTTAGGATTCAATTTTTATTTAATATGAATTATTTCTAAACTGTAAAAAATAATAAAACGCTCCTGACCCTGAACTCTAGTTTATTATTATTAAAGATAATTTATTAATTAATAATGTTATTATTATATTACTTTGCTAGAATTTTTTACTGCTCTATTTTTTTTTTTTTAACCATTGGAGTCTTGTTAGACACTTTATTAAATAAAACAAATGTTGAATTTACATGTTGTGTTTTAACTACCTACTCTAAACTAAATTATTACTAATTTAATCTAGACGATGAGTTGACCCATCGATGTCCACAAGGTGGGAATTGATGGTCAAAACTCCATCAGTTAATATAATTATAATAATATTTATAGAAAAGAACATTTCCATGCGTAGTTAGTAAGTTATATGAAGTTACTGCGTGTTTGAGAGAAGAGGTGTATAACTGTTTATATGATTTATGTCTGTTGTTTTTATTCTTTTTTGTTTTATTTTTATTTGGTTTTTTATGGGTTTTGGTAGTTGTATTTCTTTTTTGTTTTCTTGTTATGTTTTGGGTTTCTTCCCATTCTAGGATCTTTTGGATTCGGAGGTACCAGGTTTGTTCTAATTTGGTTTGGATAAATATTTGTATGTTAGTGTTTATTGTTTTTGCTGATGTTTAGATTTTGTGATTGACTTTATCTTCTTTATCAAGGACTTAGATATATATCCTTTTATTATGTCTAGAAAACATATTTCAGCTGATTCGTTTGATATGGTATTTGTCTCTAATAAAAAGGCTGGTTCTTGACTTAAGGTCTGTTTTATCGAGTCAAGTATCATGTGTTTAGTGTTCTTTTTCCCTTTTGTTTTAATTTGTTTTGCTGTTAACTGCAAGGTTTCTTTAAGTATAGTATCAATATTATATTGTTCATCTAATGCTGTACATGTGAATACATGTATATTTGTTTCTTTTTCTTGGTTGCAGAATGGACATTTATTTGTAATATACAAGTGTGGACGACGTTGATGGAGTTTGTCCATTGTTGGGAGTTCATTGTTTTGTAACCTGAGTTTAAATGAACGTTGTCTAGTGTCTTCAAATGAATTGGAGTTCTAATATAATGTGAACGGGTGATTAGTTTTTTGTGTGAGGTGCCAGTTTATGTTGTGTGATTTTCTTTCAGGAAATTGAGTTTGCTGTACGATTTTGCGTTCTCCATTTATAGAAGGCTACTGTGCGATTAATTTCTTGAATAGTTTTTTTGATAGGTTCTTCTATAATTTTGTTCTTAAGTGTTGAAATGGCTAAAATATTAATGTATTCTCTATTGATTCTCAACTTGTCAAAATTCAGCTAGTTGTGTTCTGTTATCCTAACTAGATTATCTATTATGTTGTTATTCAAGTTGTTTGAGTGGGCTTCCACTTTTGTAAGAGTGAATTTTAGTTGGAGTTGGTTAATTATTTGTTTGATTGTCTGTATAATTGGAAGGTAGTTTAGTTTGTGTAGAATTTTTGTTTGATCTCCTTGAAGGTTATTATTGATCATGCGGATTGCTTCTTTACTGTCTATATTTATGGTTACTTTCTTTTCTTGTGGTACCACTGTCAGAGCTGTCAGTATGGCCATTAATTCAGCTTTATTGGATGATGGGTATGAGTCAGTGTCTGCAACAAAGTATTGTACTGGTGATATAACTGGATTTGTTATAAGCCACCCATGCACATTTGACCCATGATATATTTGTTGTTAAGTGAACCATCTGTATAGAAGATTATTTCAGCTAGATTTATTCTTACTAATTCAGATTGAATTTGTTTCAGTTTGTTTTTTGTTTCTGTTGTAGTAATAAAAACTTTGTCAATAATACTGGGTGATTCTTTCGTTGTTTTGGGAGTTGCTGTATTGTTTCTTTTGACAATTGGTAATGCATTACTGTTATTGTTATTACAGTTATTATTGTTTTGTTTTATAAGGTCTCTATATTGTAACTTGGATAAAAATTCTGTTCTTGGATTTATTATTCGGTATAGTCTTATCGATGGTGCATAGTCTTGAGGTTGTCCTTTAGTTAGTTGTACCGTTATATATTCCATTGTTAAGTCTGTCACCTTTTGATGGTTAATTAAACATTTTGTTCTTTTGTCTGAAATACTTTTGTCTTTCATATAGCATCTTGAACATGGCTTTATTGTGTTGATTATGTCTGTGTCATTTAATTGTTCTAAATAATGAATAATATAGTTTCTGGATTGTTGATTTTGAGATTTTTTTGTTTACCCTTATGTTGGATTTTTGCTATTTTACCAAATATTATTTCGTTTGTATGGTTTTTTAGGGCAATCTATCCTTTGTCTCGTAGGTGTTCCAGTTGTGTTTCAATTTGTATCAGATTTGGTATTGTTGTGTCGTTACCTCGAAGGTTTTGAATATATGATGGGTTAATTAAGAGATGTGTTTTTATATGTTCATACCATTTGGGCGATATTCCCTTGTCACCTTTGACTTTTGTTCGGAGGTACTTCTAATTCATTAGGTTATGATTGAAGTTTAGGAATTGTTTGAAAAATGCTATTTTGTATTGTCGTAGTTGTTTAGATGGGATAATATATTCTTTAATAT